TTGATACCTGATCATTTTAAACGTAAAATGCTGGGTTGTTTTTTTTTTCATTGAAGAGCTACATTGTCTGAGTGTCAAGGTATTGTGCGAATGATGTAGCTCTACATAAAGGAGAAACCCCTATCCTTAGTTAGCCCCTATGAGTGTCATTGTAAACCCTTTCCTTAGGAAAGTGTATCAAAAAATGGGGAAAGAGAGACCCCTCAAAGCTTCGGCTCTCTTTTCCATCTGGAATCAAACCAAGGCTGAGAAAGGACAAGGTGGCCCTGTCAGTTTTCGAGGACAACAGGGCCACACTCCAGGGGACTCCAGTGGGGACTCCAAGAGGAAAGAGCTGCTAGAAAAATCACACGGGGCCTGAAGCTGAGAGTTCGGGGCAGAACGTAGGAGTCTGGGCACCACAGTCCAAATGCTGCTTTGACCCTCCTTGTGTACAGAAGATGAAGCTCCTAACAATGATCAGAATGAATGGTAATTATTCTGTTCCTGCATATCCGTGAGCTCCTTCAGGGAAGAGGTTCCATTTTATTAAATGTAATAAAACAAACCATCTTACATATTCAATGTATTTCCATAAGTCTGTGCCCATGTACCTACCACAGGGTGCGTGTGAGGAGGGTGAACCTCCCAGTACCTGAGTAAGTCCTAAGGAGAAAAGCAGCAAGACATGCCCATGACAGCCCCAGTCACCTTTAGTCCCCGCAAACCTGACGTCAGAGTGTGCCCCCATTTCCCATTGCTCTGAAGCATTTTCGCACTCAGCAGGGTCGAATAATTTGGACAAGGTGGCCACTTCAGGTCTGCAGTATTGCAATTCTTGCAACACTGATATGTGTGATTTGGGGCAGAGCTGGGCAGGGGTCAGGAAAAAGAGCCATGAGTTGTCTAGACCTGTTTACCCAACACAACAAAGGGACCACTGGCCTTGTTTGTGCGATGGCGTTAATCATGCATAGTTCACCTGAGTCCATGAGGTCTTCACCCGCTGTGAGGTCCTCACCCGCCAGGGCCAACCTCTGCCTCAGATGACAGAAGACCCCAAGACGCCTTCAGGGCCTCTCCAAAATGTTCTCATCGCTTTTGAAGTCAGAAGAGAAATGAGCTTCCAGGTCTCAGAAAATATCTAAATAAACAACAATATGTTCATCTTTATGTCAATGCTGTTATGATATGGAGTTTTCCATTCATTTATTTATTCTGGTGAAGGATAGGTGCCCCAAAGGCAAATACAGTTCCACCCAGTAGATCAGAGACATGGAGGGGATAAAATCCTGTTTTCCGAAAAACATCAAGCAATCTATTGATCGTACGCGGCCAGACTCTTCTCATGGACATACAGGTAAAGTTGGGGGAGACAGGCCAGGCTGGTAGGGGAGACATGTGATGGGTGAGCTGAGTCAGGAAGACCCACAATCCTTCACACACCACATGTTTGGGGGATATGACCCTCATTTTCTCTCTCACAAGTGTACTGCTCCAGCTCATGAGCAAATCAAAAGAAACAGAAAGAATTCTAGACCTCAGCACCATCAAATTAGGGGAGTTAATTGAAGATACCACTTTCACACAGTGTAATCATGGTCTCTTTGCTTTGGTCAAAAGAGTGGAAAATATTTTTCAAACCCGACTCCCTCCCCTGCACCCAAACAGTTCCATGGACCGACCGTGGCGTTTCTTATCTGCTCCCATCAGCTTCACACACGATCTTGTCTATGAAGACAGGTAGCACAATTACCGTTCGACGAGATGCATCAAGCTTTCCATACAACAAGGGCCTTTTAAAAATGCACTTGACTTTTCAGGTGATTCAGCAGGAAGAGCCATTAGTGCACCATCTAAATCAGGACTTGGAAAGTTTATTAAAATTCGATTTTTAACCTGATTCCAATTTCCTCTGCTTATAAAAAAAAATCCCACTGGACTGCTTAATATTCATGCTCTTAACCTGAAAGATTCAAACAGCCATTATGGGAGGAAATGCTTTACAGACAAGCCCCACAGACCAGAGTTACAGATAAAATCACACTGAGCCCAGGCAGGTAGAGGGACTGGGGATCCTGGACGTCTGCCCAAGGACCAAACTTTCTCTCCTTTGCCCCCTTCCCACCTCCCCTTTCTCCTGGTCCCCCCTTCCCTCACATACCTGGCCAGGGAGACAACCAGAAACAACAAAAGAAAATATAAAGGAACTAGTCAGTTACAGAAAATCACTGCAGCTTTTACTTGGATAAATGACCTCCTACTCTGGTGCCCTAACTACTCCCCCACACTGATGCCACGGCTTTGAACTTCTGTGCTTCGTTTTTGTAAAGTGAAGAAATCACAGCTCCTAAGAAGGCTGGTGCAAGGACAAAACGTGGAACTCATGTAATGCATTTTGCACGGCGCCTGGCACAAAAGCCTTGAATGCCTCTCAGCGGGTGTTAGGACTGATCACTGACCAAATTCATAGGTCAGTTGCTTTGTTTCTGTTTCACTCTTTCAGCCTTTATATCTTCTGCAGAACAGGGTTTGCAGCCTAACTGATGTCAGTGAGTTTGGGGAGCACGAAATAGGTTGTGGGTGTTCATCTTGTTTCCCCTTGAGATCTGATTTTCTGCGCCCTTAGGGGAGTGGTGATACCCCAACTTTCCAGGGGGGCTGGCATGGTGCTGAACACAGACTAGGTGCCCAATAAAGGCTTTGCATGGTTGAATATAGGCAGCTTAGAGGTCACTGATTAAAACCCTCTCAAGTTCCATTTGATGATACTGAGTGAGAGGGTCTGGGGCCACACAATGAAGAGTGACGGCCAAACTTCTGGGCTACTACCGCCGTGTTTCCTACGAAAACCCTTTCTGAAACGGAAACCTGTCCGACCTGAACCATGACTCCTTGGGGGAAGCTCAGTTTAGAAGACTTTTTTAAAAAGAGCATATTATGTTTCAGATACCATGCCAGATTTGGGGGAGATAACCAAATTATGGTGCCCAAGCTCAAAGCCCTTCCAATCTAGTGAGGAAGACAGATCTCTAAGCAGATCTTTTCAATAAAATGTGTTCCTGTTACAATACAGCTGAGTTTCAGTGATATGTAAATGCCAGTAAGGAAACCTAACTCACGTCTACAAGAGGTCGAGGAAGGGGGTTAAGGAGAAATGACATAAAACTAAATAAGAACAAAAGAGCCAATTAATACTGCCTTATTTATCTAAGCATAAGAACACCGATCATTGATCAGTGAATGTTGGCTGAAATTAAAGAGCATGAGAAATTAAAGAGAGCTAAAATCCCAGTGTTCAAATTCTTGTCACTTGCCAGATGGGCTTGGAGTCACATTTTGAATGTGAGGCATCGAACAGAGACTCAGGGCTGCAACTCGGGTTCTAGCTCCTTTTGAGGACTTGTTGTTGGGAACTAAGCATATTAATTAACCTGTTTGGGGCTCTGTGGGTGCAAATCACACTGCCAGCCCTCCTCCGCATCTGGCGAATGGGTTGTGAGAATCATACTATGGGCACGAAAGCACTGTGAACTCTCATGAACAAGTAGTCATACCAACTCAGAGTATCAGGGCCTCCCCCTGTTTGGAAGAATGCATGACCTGCATTGAGCTTAGCTGCTGGCAGGAGCTTGAGGACACCAGTGGACACAAGGGTTGACCTTAGACTAACATTTCACCTGGAACCTCATACGTGACTTTACATGACTTCATAGAATGGGGGAAGGCCCTTCTTTTAAAGCTGATGTCAATAGAAACACCACGACTTTTCAGAGTGGGGCTTTAAATTGACTTTTAAAACGTCACATATACACACATACATAAAATCCATCTATATCTTAAAAATAGGCATGTCAATAGTAGTCCGGCTCAAAGAAGTCGCCGGAATCATTAAAACCCCTAAAAGCCTATTTTCCAAAATAAGGTTTGTTTTTGGCCTCACTGATGTTTCTGTCTTTGGCTTCATCACATAGCCAGAAAGTGCTGGTCGTTGCTTTGCTTTCTAAAAGGACAGCCAGTCGCATTCCACCAGTAAAGAGGTCACTGTCCTGTGGGTGCCATTCCTTAGGCGGGGGGAGGGGGGTGTCCGTAAACTAAACAAAGTTAATGAAAGATTTTCAAAACTCAAGTGACACATTCGAATTCTTCCAAATATTTATGTTCCAGTATTTAAGATGTGGAAGATCTACTGAAATTTCTTCTTTAAAAAAAAGACTGTACTTTGATGTTCCTTTGGCATTTTTTTTAAAAACGCATTTGCTGACCTGCCTTTGCAGTGACTTGCTTTGTTCCGGGTGGGCAGGTGAACAGGCAGACCAGCTTCTGCGAGGAGATTCCAACCCCAGGGCCCTGGGAATCTTAATTTGAAGTTGAACTGCTGAAGGCCGGCCGAGTTCTCACACCAAACTCCCCACCTACCGGAACTGGGGGAGGGGACAGGGGGACCCTGCTTGGTTTCACAGATGACGTTTGCAGTCCGGTGCACTGGCAGAGCCGAGCTGAATTTTCTGCGCTCTCCGGGTGAGTCGTCCATTACTACGGGACTCCACACCGAAGGGAGAGGGCGTGTTCAATGGCGGCAAGGAGCGCTCGGGAGCAGGCTTCTCGCCCGGATCCCGCATCGGGCTGCCTTGCCGCCGGCGTCCCAGCCCCGCTGCGGTGTGAGCTCGGAAGGATGGCTCCCCCTGCTTCCCGGGCCGCGCGGGGAGAATCGGAGCCTAAGGTGAGTCACCTGCCGGAAAGGGAACGCACGCGGTGTGGACACACCAGGGAAGGGCGCAAGTACCCGGCACCTTGCGGGACTGCAGAGAGCAGGAAGGTGGCCTCAGGGCTCGCACCTGCCCTTTCCCAGCAGGGGCAGGGAGTAGACCGGGCGCCCCCGGCTTGAAGTCACCTCTGGCACAGCTGGCCCCGCCCTCCCGGCCGCGCGGGTTCCCGCAGCTCCAGGTGGGCGGGGCCGACTCCGCCCATACCTGTGCGCTGGAGCCGCTGACCCGGCAGGGCACCGCAGACTCTGGCGCGGAGCGGCGCGCGGAGCACCTGGCGGTCTCGGCTCCGGGCAGCGCCTGAGCAGGCCTGGCAGCAGTGGGCGCTCGTGATCTTCCTCTGCCCAACGCGGTCTCCCTGGGGCCCGGCCTCCAGCGTCCCCTCCTCCTGCTTCTGCTCCTCCTCCTGCTCCGCCCCTCGGCGGGACTCAGCTCCGCGTCTCCCGCTTGTAAAGTCTCCAGCGTGCCGGCAGCCACGAGCCGCCGCCGCGGACGGGTCTCTGGGTGCCCGCGCACCTTCACTGCCGCCTGTCTGGCGGTGCCCCGAAGCTCCCTCCGCCGGCCGCCGGTGCTCGACGGCGCTGCCCCATGGCCCAGCCCGAGAGCCGACTTCGGGCGCCGGACTGGCTGGACCGCGGCGCAGCTCAGGTGAGTGCGGAGCGGGCGGAACTGGGGCCACCAAGCTGGGGAGTGGCAGGACGTGGGGCGATCGTGGTGGCCCGATCTGGCGTCCTGGACTTAGGGCAAGAGCAGAAGCCAAGGTGAGTCGGAGCTGGAGCAAATGCAGTGGATGTAGGGGGACGAGGAAGGAGAGACACGGGGGTTTCCTGCCCTCCTCACCTCGACTCCCCACCCCCCAGCTCCGCAAGCCCCGAGGGACTGTTTGTGTTTTGCCGGCAGGGAAGGTATCTGGGTTTCTCACTCTTAGTGGATTGGATGTTAACCCCTAGCAGAGTCGGAGGTTCGATCTCGTCCACCACTGCTCCCTGGTATCATGAGGGAAAGCTGGAGCGCAAAGCGCAGCGCATCCCGGGTACCACTGGGGCTGGGAACTGGGGCAGGGACACGGTTAGCAAAAATTCGGTGGGTCCAGGGAGCATCCAGGGCAGGGAAGCCCTGGATTCGAGTTGGCCTCTGCGTTCAGCCGGAGCGGAGAAGAGATGGGGCATTTCCCTAGGGGCGGGGATGTTCGGGAGCAGAGACTGAGACTCCGGGCCTGACAGTAAGTGACCTCTTTCCCCAATGGCAATTATACACGGTCCTGATTTTTCCTGTTACTTTTTATCCCCCCACCCCACTTTTTTCCTGCCTCTGTTTCTATTTCGAGCACCACGGGTGGCGGCAGCGGGTGAGGGTGAGGGGAGCTGGGGCGTCAACCCGCGGTGGGAGCGCGTAGCCCCAGTTCCGAGCGAAGGGCACCCTCCAGAAATCTGACATCTCCAGGTGCTCTTTCCGAGCCAGGCGACGCAGCGCGCACTGCTCCCCTCCTGGCCCCACCAGCCTGGGGAGCCGGAGCGCGGGTTTGGAGAGCCTGCGATGGGATGGGGAAGCCGCGGGATCAGAAGCCGGGATGCAGGGCTCGGCGTATGCTCCGCGCCGCAGTTGTTCCCGGTGCTTTTTGTCCTACACCTTTTGGACCCGCCGGGCCAGCGTCCACGCTTCCTTGCACACACAGGACCCTCTCTCCAAAGGGCAAGTGGGGTGTGTATCCTTCCTTCTCGGCCCCCTACTTTGCAGACCAGTAGCATCCTTGCTTCGCCTTGCGTGAGTCTTGCTCCTCCCCCAGCATTATCCGCCGGCTATTTTTATCCAGTCCTTGTACGAAAATGCTGGGGGGCGGGGGGGGCGTCTATTCTGGGGAGGCGAATCCAAATCCACTGCCCTCTCGCACTGAGCTCCCAGAAGTGGCCCCTGCTAGCAGGGAACAGCCAAGGTATCTAAGAGAAGCATAGTGCGCCCGCTCCTCCTCTAGCAGCCGGAGCTCTGGGAACAGGGTACCAACTGCTCCGCTTCGCCGGCCGCCGCTCTCCGGCTCAGAGCCGCTCCCTGGACCTAACCCCCCTCGTCCCGGCGTCCGTGCTCTGCCGGCTTCTGTATGTAGCTACCGCCAGAGCGCACGCAGGATCCTTTGGGTCTGACTTGCGCGTTCTCGCTTGGCAGCTAAATCTCACCATAATTTATTGAAACGCAATTAGCAACTTCCACTCAAGGGTTAATTGCAGGAGTTACATCTTTAAAAAATATAAAAAGGAGGGGGAGAGGACCCAACTTCTGCCTTCCTGCGTTTTTAAAGTCCATCCTTCGGCGCCGGGAATTCTTATTTTTCTTTCTGCTCTCTCAGTGACAACTGGGCACAATTACAATAAGCCTGACCTAGTGAAATTCTAAGAGATGAACCCTCCAGCTGCAAATCCCCACGTTAGGCTTCGCATTTCCAATGCTTAGATGTTTCCCTCCCCATAGGGTTGCAGAAATTACGTATTGAAATGGACCATTGTGTTACATAAGGTTCTCCCCAGAGCTAGGCAGAGAGAAGGATCAAGAAAGAATCCTTTCCAGGAGTCAGTAGGTCCCTCTAACTCTTTCGGCAGAGTTTGACAAGGCTGACAACTTCGTGACTAAGCACTCTTAAGCCAGCAGTTAATTAGGACAATAGTGTCCAAGGAGGAGCCCTTACTGAGGCTTCTGGAGTGTTTTTCTGGGCTGCGGATCCAGGCCAAGGCTGCCTGGTGTACAAGGTACTGTAGCTTTAAAACGGAAGGTTTTATTTATTTATTTATTTATTTATTTATTTATTTATTTATTTATTTGACTTGGAACACTGGTGAGAAAGTGGTACCTTGAACTTGCGATGGCATCAGGAGAAACCCAGGGCCCTTTGGCTCTGATGCAGGTGTGCCTAGTTGGCAGCCTCAAGTCCAATGGTCTAAATCAGTGTCTTGCACACTGATGTCCGGGGATGTCCCGGGAGCCCTTTCTCTGGACTCCACAGGGCAGCCGGGCTTTGTGCTTTCGTTGTCAAAAGAAGACATTCTCTTCCTGGAAAAGTACTGAGGTCTTTGAAAGGAAAAGCAATGCGGAAGGTTTTAGTTTGTTTCTTTGTTTTTAACTAAAATGTGATGGTGACTAGCAAGAGGCTCGGAAGATGGACTGGCTGGTGGGAAACTGCTTGATCCCTGCCCGCCGCCTTTCAAAGACCACAGCATCCACCCTGAGTGGGGCATGCCCGCTGTGAGTACTGCTGAGCTGTGCTCCCTCTGCTGAGGCTGGGGTTTGTGGGGAGGAGCAGTGAATGTGCTGGTGTCTTGCTGCAGCTGAGCCAGAACCCGGGGTCATGGCTCAGACTCCAGGTTCCAGGCCGTGCCTCTCTGCCAGGGTGCCTGCATGAGAGACTGTTGTGGAGGGGTGAGGAGTTACAACTTTCTGGCGGCTGGGTGGGAAATGCAGTAACTTTCCAGCTATTGTGGAAAGCCATGCTTTTCCTGATGGTATTGGAAAAGACCTGGGTAGTTCCCCATCACTTTGCCGTAAGTACCTGTCTTCTTCAGATCTCACTAACGGTGCAGTGCTCTCTAGCTTGGCTTCCCTTTCCCAATGGGGGAGCTTCTTTCCCAGGCACCCTAAGCTGAGGATGTTTCTCTCTCTGAGCCCCAGGTCCTTTCTCTGCAATACAGAGATTGGAAGATTATTATGAGAAAGTGAAAAAAAGTGCATGTGAAGGGCATGTTAGAAATTCCAAAACACTGCTGGAAAGAAAGGTCCAGAGTTACCTAATTTCTTTCCCCGCAAATGTCATTCTGTCTATTTTAATGCTAATTGTAGTTTATGTGTGTCTGTATGAATTACATAGAAGGAACGTTAAGTGAAGGGGAGCTGTGACACGAGGCTCCAGCAACTCCTTGTGAGAACTCTACCTGAAACCCACCAGAACCAGGCCTCCCTGCTTCTCAGAACCATTAGTTTCTGGATTTAGATTCGGAGTTAAATGTTTCAGAGGCTTTTTTTCTTTTTAGCTTAATGCATTTTGCACATCTTAAAAAATATAGTTTCAGAAGAAGAGGTCTGCTACTGATTAATCAAAAAAGAAAGGAAGCTGAGAATGAGCGTATCCATTGGGGAAAAGTGACACATGACGGGTTTCAGGAGATGACCTGGGTGTCCCTTGTCATCAGCATAAAAGACTGGCTCTTGATCGCATTTTCGGCATTGTTCAAAATATGTCCCCAGGACATAGCTCAGTGCCTGGCAAGTAATAGAGGATTGATAAGTATTTCTGAAATAATGAACGGATGCTTGAACTGAACTTTCGCAGAAACCCAGTGCTGCGCACAGGCAGATGGCATCCTTTCTATTTTGAAGAATCGGAATCTGCAGATCAGAGAAGTTAATGAATGTTCTGGAGGTAGAAAGCATCCCAGATTGGAGCTCAGGTCTGCCTGTTCTCATTCCACGCCCTTCCCTGGCTGGCGCTGGATGGCCTTCTCTCTCCTTCCACCACTTAGAGTCCTCCTGACCCGTGAGCACTTCCACATTTGGGAAGGTGCCCAGCAACCGAACAACCCTCTTATTCAGGTGGCACAGCCCTCGTCTCACAGAGAGACTTTCTGGTGGGAGGAGGGGCTCCGTCTCCTTGTCCATCACTCCAGGCTCTGAGCTAGGGCTCTGTTGGTGATCTCACCTGGGACCTGGAATCGTGAGGGACCAGCTAAAGGACACAAGGGCCGTTGAGTACTTACTAATTACTGTGAGTCGTGAATCAGGTGGCCTGTCCAGCAGCATGGATGTCCCTGGATGTCCCAGGGGTACAGTTTTCATGTATGATCCTGGCATGTTCCTCGGTGTCTGGGTTCCCTTTATCCTTCTCAGTTTCCGAGCCCAGGCTTGCCGCCTCTTATCCACTCCTGGGGGTAGCCCCTGGCCTCCAAGTCGATTCCCTTTCCCCGCGAGTTAGCCTGATCTATAATCAGCTGACGGCAGCTTCTCCGGTTCATCTGTGGGCCTGCCTCAGGAGTGAGGCATTCTCAGCTTCCTCTACCCCCAGGGAATGTGCCCCTCGCTTTTTCAGGCTGTCAGAATAATACTTAGTGGGTCACAGTTTGTCAATAGTTATGGGGAACCATGAGAGTTCTAGAAAAATGAATACATTACTCTTCCAAGGAATAGCCTGAACATAACAGAAATAGATCCCAAGAGGCATCTTTGCTTTTCCCTCCAGGCCGCGTGTTTTTTGGTGGCTTTCCAGTAGGGGTCGCAAACTCAAATGCATTTCAGTGGCCAGGCAATGAACCGCCTTGGAAGCAGGCCTGGGGCCTGGGCCAGGGTAAAAAGGGTCACAGCTCAGACTTAGCACAGGGGTTACCAGTGAGCCCTCAGGCCCAGTCTTGCCAGATTGATTCATTTGTTTGCTTTTAAGATAGGCTATTAGTTCACAATTTTATATAGAATCTATTGACTTCTCAATGCCAGCAGCTAATTCAATATTTTTAAATAATACCATGTGGGCCATACAAAATACCTCTGTACGTAGGCCTCACATTTGTCCCACAGGCCCCCAGTCTATGGCCTTGGGGTTGGGGGAATAGAGAAGAAATCAGTTGCCCAGAATATAAAGGCAAGGAAGGGTATGCCCGGAGTGGAGCGCAGACAGT